TTCTTGTGTACTGTTATTTTGGAGCAGATAGATTCTCTCTTGTTTTGCCTCTGCTTTTGGGGTAGTTTTTAGGGTTCTTTGGGGCTACTGGAGTGCCAGAAAACACCATTGAAAAACCTGAAAGAGGTTTCCACTTATGTATAAACAAAAGGACCAGTGGATGAAAAATACAAACGCAAAAGAGGCACACCTAAAATGAAAGACACACAAATTTTGTTTTGCCACGCACTCCCCTCATTTTAGGTGTTATGTCTCTTGCAACAGCCTGACTAGTGGCTCTTGGGACTGAACTGAAAAAGTGGACCTCAAAAGCCTAAATCTCCCCTCCCCTCTGAGAGCAACTGCTGTGCCACACACACACACAAAATGACAATTGCCTGTATCATTGCATTCTCTCCCTTCCCACAGTTTTTACGCGTGCACATTGTGGAGATGCCCGCGGAAGATTACAGAGAGTGGTTGCAGTCTCGAGTAACCATCCCCAAGCGGGCACGTAGCGCCCCACCGCTAAGCTGAACAAGCCAAAGAAGTCCCAAGTCAGACGGTGTTGCTGGCCCCAAACCAGAGCAGCCACCGAGCCTGGATGCGGGGAGAGTGGCCCGGATGATGTAGGCAGGACTCCAGTGCAGTGCTCCAGCACCGCCCGTAAGAGTCTCCCCCCCCCCCAAAATGCTCATTCTCAAAGGTACAAATTCAAACAACGAGAGAATTGAACAGTTAAAACCACTTTTAATTTTGCTGAATCCTTGCAGGCTGGCCGTGTATAGACATTTGATTTTGCCTGGCACCGCCCTTTTTGTCTATGTGCCTCTCATAGCAGGTGGCGTGGAATACTATGCCTGCACCAAGGACCGGTTTAGTGGCATCAGCAGATTCTCACAGTGATCAGCATGTGCCACTGAAAAAGGTAACCCAGCCGGTTCAGCCCCTAGACTGTGCGGTTCCTGCCTATTACATTCCTTGTTGAGTTTTAAGTTTCTGTATATTTTGGATCTATTAAAACTCTTTCTTACAGATTCTTGTGGAACATTGTTGAGAAATGTGGGCTGAACTTCAGTAAGTTTTTTAGACAGGCACAACTGTCCCTCACGTGTACAGATGCTGAATGCCTACCGAGTTGTACAGTAGGAGTCCTGTATCCACGGGATCAGTATCTGCTGATTCACTTATCCATGGTCTGAAAATATTAAAAATATTGAAAGCAAAATCCTAGAAAGATATATTTCTAAAGCTGAAGTTTCCAGAATGGGCCACTAGAGGGAGCCAGAGATCATGCTATGTATAGCGTTTGCTATCAAAATAGTGTTTGCCATAATCGGCGTTTTTCAGCATCCACCGGGAGGGGCTTGGAACCAGTCCCCCGCAGATACAGAAGGTCCTACTGTACAAGGGCTGCCCTGTTGCTTTGAAGCAACAGGGCAGATTCCACTTCTCTTAACCTGCACATTGAAGCATTAGATCCCAGATTTCCTTGGGGAGACCCATTGCTATCTGTGTCCCTTACTCGTTAGGAGCACACATTCTGATTTTTTTGAGCAGTGGAGGGCTATACCAAATAACTGGGCACAGCCCCCTGCAAAGGTTCTAAACAGCAGCTTCCATGATTTCCCTGCCAAGATGTCTGAGTGAGAGAAAGCCGAACGTACCACCATGCAATCATTTAAATGGAGGCTGAAGGTGTTCGGATCCTGGCAGACAGAAAGGGCTTTTCAAAATGCAAAAGGACCCATCTCCGCATTGCTCTTTCTATTCAACAGGGAACCCTAACCCTGCCAAGTAACAAATTTAAAAAACCCTTACCAAAGCATATGGTTAATTGCCCTACCAAGTGAACAAACAGGTTCTGTTTTTGGATTCACATCACTAGAGTCTACCAGCAAAGATTCAATTTTTTAGTGAACTATGGCCAACGCATAGAAGCCTGTGTCCTGGCGGGGGCGGGGGGGGGGAATGCGCAGGAATGCTGAAGCACCACCATTAAATTCAAAGCTCTTTATTAAACTGCCGTTCAAACAGCCGGCTTTTCAATTTCCCCTTCTGTCTCTAATTTTGAGGGCTCTTTAAATAGATTCATTTACAGAATTTGCAGCCTTCTGAGCAACAACAAAGAGTGAATCAGCAGAACATTAAAACAAACTGCTTGACTTTCACAGAACTGTAATTCCCACTTACTTACGCTGAGTGGAAAGAGTGCCTTTTAGCACGAAGGGGAAGAATCACCACGGACCCGACTACCTGTCACCCACCGAGAGCTTTCTTGAGCCGTGTACGCGATCTTCCAAAGAAGGTGGAGGAGGTGGGTTGGGGGGGTCTTTTTTTCCTTTCTTTTAACTAACAGAAGTGTAATTAAGGCTATTCTGGTACATTTTTTTTCATTCAAATACTCTGGAAGCCCTTTTTATAAGCTCCCGTCAGAATTAGCATTTTCAAAAATGAAAACATTTCCATTGGTTTTGGGTTGTAACGCGGACGCAGCGAAAGGCCCTGGGGCCCGGTTTTCTTTCGGCACCTTCCAAATCACGTCAGAATGGTGTCGTCAATTTGTTCGAAAGAGTCAGCTTGAGCCGCGAGCTTCTTCAAAGACCGGCGGCAGCTCTCATTCAGCAGTTCCAAGCTGGCACTGTCTAGAATCTTGGAGATGGACTGCGAGAAGAAAAGAAAGAAAGAAATGTGGGAGCTTGCCATGAAGTCCTGTTCTGTAATTCACAGATGGAACTAAAGTTGATCTAAACGTCATCCCCCTCAATGAGATTACAGGTTAAAATAATAATCTCTTAGAACTGCAGAGCTGAACGGGGCCCTTATGGACCACCAAGTCCGGCTCCTCCTGAGGAGGCCCAGCAAGGAATCGAAGAGGATTTTGGTAGGTTCTCCAGGACCAGCGTTTCCAGATGAGAGCAGGGGTAAGGAAGCTGTGGCATCACAGGGGCAATATTCTACCCCTGAAATCTGTGGTGGGGCACAACCACTTGACAGAGTGGAAAGAAACATTGCTCACAAGCTGGTTTGCTTGCTCAAAGTTTTTTCAACTTCAAAAAAGGTACCTCAAGGAAACATCGGATTCATCGGAAAAGTGTCTCTTTCTGGAAAATTCCAGGATCAACATTTTCCCCCATTGGGAAAATCCTTGGCTTTGGGGGGGGGGCAGGGAGGGCACATGAATCTCAGTTTTGGGGTCAAGGGTACTCATGGGTTACCAACGAAAGTGTGACACTTTTTCCTTTAACTATTCGCCGGAGGCGGCAGCAACACCACCACCACCACGTGCTACGATTCTAAAAGTCAAGCAGGGAAAGGTGAGAGCATCATCATCATCTCTCTTTTACCCATGGCTGAGGGCTAGGGGTAAGGATGACGGCCACGCCAGATCAAACGATGTGGGTGACCTAGCCCCCGTTAGTCATTACAGGGACTGTCACTGGGAGAGAACATTCATTTGTAAGACATTATTGTTGCCAATAAGCAGTAACACAGACACTCCCCCAAAATCTTGCTCCCACTTCTTATCCTTCCTGTATCCCAGTTGCAAGACAAAACTGTAGACCTGCAAAGTTCTGGCTCTACATACAGTCATGTGAAAAAGGAAGTACACCCTCTTTGAATTTGACGGCTTTACAAATCAGGACATAATGAAAACTATCTGGTCCTTAGCAGGTATGAAAATCAGGTAAATACGAACTCAGATAAACAATAACGTATTAAACTCATGATTTATTTCACAAAAATACAGCCTAAATGGAAAAGCCGTGTGTGAAAAACTTAAGTACACCTTTATTGCTTCCATAGGAATTAAGAGGCCAAATAGCTTCCAGCTGCTGCTTACGAAATGCCCTCGATCATCAGCAAAGTGTGACCACCTCTATAAAAGCTGAACTTTTCGCAGTTTCCTGGTCTGGAGCATTCAGGTGTGTGAATAAGCCAATGCCAAAGAGAAAACGCATCAGCAGTGATCGTAGAGATGCTATTGTTGCTGCCCATTAATCTGGGAAGGGTTATAATTTCTGAACAACTTAAAGTCCATCGTTCTACAGTAAGGAAGATTGTTCACAAGTGGAAAACATTCAAGACAATCTTCCCAGGAATGGACATCCAAGCAAATTCACCCCAAGGTCAGTCTATGTAATGCTCAGAGGAATTGCCAGAAACCCAAGAGTTACATCTCAGACTCTATAGGCCTCAGTTAGCATGTGAAATGTTAAAGTTCTTGACAGTGCAATTAGAAAAAGACAAGTATGGTTTGTTTGGAAGGGTTGCCAGGAGAAAGCCTCTTCTCTCGAAAAAGAACATGGCAGCATAGCCCAGGTTTGTCAAGTTGCATCTGGACAAACCACAAGGCTTTTGGAACAATGTCCTTTAGACAGACGAGACCAAAGTGGAGAGGCTTGGTCATAACGCACAGCGCTACGTTTGGCGAAAACCAAACACAGCATAATCAGCACAAACACCTCCTACCAACGATCAAGCATGGTAGCAGAAGGGTGATAATTTGGGCTTGTTTTGCAGCCCCAGGACCTGGGCACCTTGCAGTCATTGATCATGAACACCTCAGTATACCAAAGTATTCTAGAGTCAAAAGGGAGACCATCTGTCCAACAGCTAAAGCTTGGCCAAAATTGGGTCATGCAATAGGCCAATGTTTCCAAGCACACCAGCAAGGAACCAAATGATTTTTATTCTGTCCTGATATGTAAAACCATAGAATTCAAAGAGGGTGTACTTTCTTTTTCAGATGACTGTACAGACAACAGCGCTACGCTTCCTCACATTCTTTCCTTATTTCTTAAAGCCCCCACAAAAAACATTTTTCCTGTGACTCTACCATCCACATCCAGCCGCTGAAGGGCTCCTTCCATCCTACATGAACCTGGGCTGTTATGCCTACAGCACTCAGATCATGGGCACAGAAGGGGCTGGACTACAACTCCCATGATCCCTCACAAGGGACTGTGCTAGCTAGGTATGATGGCGGCTGCAATCCACCGACCTCTGAACGGCCCAGGATTCCCTGTCCGGTCCTTGGCAAAGGCCTTCTCTAGCCTTGTGAGCATAGGACGCGCATGGAAAGCCCCTTCCCACTCCATGCTTCCATGAGGATTCTATGACTTTCTGCATGGACATCGCTGCTTAGCTGTGCCCCTTTCTCTTTCGACCAGCAACAGGAAATCTTGGCCTATGGCTCCCGTTGCAGCAGCCTTCCGACAGGACATCTGGAGGATGCCAAAGTCTTCCTGCTACGGACAAGCAGCAGAACGACGCTGCCCTCCAGAGGGCTCTTCTGCTGCTTATAGGCTCCCTCCGCTTTCCCCTGCGTGCCATCCTGACTCAAGACCCAGAGAAACACAGCTTCCAGATCCTTCTGAATCTGTTCTGGCCTCTCAGCCGTCCGGTTGCAGGAGTAAGAGCAAACACCCTCTTCCTGTAGAGCTCATGAAAAGAAAAAAAAAGCCAGCAAAGGGAAAACAAACACACACATACGCACGATCCCGTACCTGGAGCATGTCCTCGCCATCTCTCATCTTCAGGAGGTTCACAATGGCTTGGTCACTGTAGGCCCTCACGCTGGTGTTCTTGTCTTTCGTATTGTCTAGAAGGGCTTTGAGAATAGGCTTGGCCGTCTGGGGATCCAGAGGAGGGAGAGGGTTCTTGTTGGCCCACCAGATCATCTTCTCTGCAACAAGCTTAATGTCGCTGGATGGATTCTGAAGACACTGGAAGGAAGACAGAATGGGAGACTTTTCAGTTCTCAAGGAAGTGGGGTGGGGAGAGAAAGGCGAGGAACTCCTAAAGCTGACTAACTAACAGCTTGAAAAAGGAATACAAATACCAAAAACAAAATATTACCTTCCATAATTCTCCCTAAATCACCAGCCCCTAGGAACGGAAGGCCTCCATATGCAAAGGAAAAATCTAACATTCAAAAATCTGACGCTGAAGATGTTTTACAAACCATCTATTATTTAGACCTCTAATGGAGATCTTACAAAAGAGAGTCTGTAAATCTGAAATGCTTTGTATGGGTGTGAAAGCTGGACAGTTAAGAAATCTGACAGAAAAACAAGTTGATTTGTTTGAAATGGGGTACTGGAGGAGAGCTCTGTGGACACCCTGGACTGCTCAAAAGACCAACAAGGGGGTCCCAGGTCAACTCAAGCCTGAACTCTCTCTGGAGGCAAAGATGATGAAACTGAGGCTGTCCTACTTTAGGCAAATCATGATAAGGCAGGATTATCCGGGGGGGAGGGGGGAGACAATCATGCTTGGAAAGGTGGAAGGCAGGAGGAAAAGAGGAAGACCCGATACGAGATGGACCGGCGCCCTCAAGGAAGCCACAGGCTGGAGTTTACAAGAACTGAGCAGAGCCGCTTGAGGACACGCCACGGCAGAGATCGTTCGTTAACAGGGTTGCATGAGTCAGAGGCAGCCTGACGACACCAAACAACCAGCTGAATTTAACTTGTAGAATAAAAGACAATAACTGGTCCCACGGCACCACGCCATGAAGACCCCAACAGGAAACCTGGCCAGCAGCAGCAGGGCGTGCTTTGTTTGAAAGAACCCTGGCTGGAGAGGAAAGTGACGAATGCCAAGGAGAGGAGAAAGGTGGCCTTTGAGCTTCGTAGCCCCAGGGAGGCATTTCTGTGTCCGCTGGCCGGTCGCATGGAAAGCAGCACCTGGGGACAGAAGCGTTTGAGCCCAGGGCCAGCCTTGCCCTTCTTCTGCCCAGACGGACAGGTTGGTCCAGCCCTCCCTGGCCGGGGGGTGGGGGTGGGTCAGGCGCCTCTGCCATCGCTGCCCTCCAGGAAGGAGGCATTGCACTCGTGACACCGAATCTGGGGGGCGCTCACCTTAATGAAGAGGTTGGAGAGTTTGGGGGGCAAGTTCCCCCCACTGGCCTCTATGTGGTACTTCATCAGGAAGCCCATTCCTCTGATGCCACTGAGCGCGATTGGGATCTGTAGGGGAAAAAAGAATAAAGTGGGGACACACAAGCACGGAGGCAATCAAAAACCGGGTATGGCAAGCAGGAGGAGACGCCCTTCCTTCCCTGCATGACTTCTTATGTCCATCCACTGAGCTGAGACAGTGTCGTTTTGGGAGCGCCCGTAAAGAACAGGGAGGTGCTCTCCCGCATAATCCTAGAACCCAAGAATTGATTCTGTGAAGTTGGAGGGTGCAAGATTCAGGGCAGATAAAGAGACGACTTCTTTCACATAGTTCCGCTGTGGAATTCACGGCCACAAGATGCAGCAACCGCTGCCAGCTTGGAGGTGAGGGCCTTCAGCTGCCCCAAGGCAAGTCGACCCTATTTCACCCTCCGCGTCAGAGGCAGGGTGTCCGGTCAAGATCAGCTGCAGCAGATTATTTTTTTCCTGTTTTCTTCTCCTAAAAATTTGGTGCGTCTTATGGAAAGGTGTGTCTTATGGAGCGAAAAATACGGTAGGTACCAATACAAGTTCCCTTTGGGCTTTGCAGAGCTGACGGTTTTGCCCCAGTGGGAACAAGCGTGCTGGACCAGAGAGGCATTGGGCACTTCGGTCCTCCCTCCCAACACAGGGTACAACACTTGTTGTTCTCACACTATGGACGGATCTACACCTGGGGTGGCTTTCCTCTCCCCCCACGGCTCAATGCTGTGCGTAAGGCATCATCAACTCCCTCTGTGGGACAGGGGCCTCTTTCTGGTAATGGGGCAGAAGGAAATGAAGGCCCCACCAATGGTGCATCGGCACCTGCAGAGATCCCATGGCCACACGTGCCAAGTCTTTGTGCCGCTCTTGTAAAGAAACTCGGCCAGTTTGTTTAAGACTCACCCTCAGCATCATTATCAACCCCACTAAGCCTGACTTTAGAGAGTCGCGATGGGTTACCAAAATGCAGAATCTGTTCTCAGCTGAGACTGAGCAGAAAGAACTCTGGCCTGGTGTCACGATCTTCCTCCTCTGGAGATGTGAGAGTCAACATCTTCACAGGACATGGGAAGCCCCCTGACACCACGTCGGGTTCTGTTTGCCCTTCCTG